ATTTCTCTTACAACAGTGCCCCATCTCAAGCCCACCTCCCCTACAGCTTATGTATTTGATACACCCTCAGAAACTTTTATCTAGTTAGTGCCTTCTCCTCCAACCAGGTGCTATTCTCTAGCTCTTTTCCATTCAAAATCCAGGAATTCCTTTTACACCCTAAGCCAATCTATACCCCATACCAGTGATGGCGACCCTTTCAGATCTTTCAATGATACAAACAACCCACTGTGGAACACAAGCCATAGGTTTGCCTCCACTGCATACCAACTAAACCCCCTTCTGCCTGCCCCTCTCTCCATGCCTCTAGTAGGAGCCCTTAACCTGCCCATGCCTGCTTTCTCTACCAAACCTCCTCACTTAGCCAACCTCTTTTCATTCATTTATGCCTTACCTTCAATTGAGTTCCCCTTCCCCAATCAGGTCTCTTTCTCTTGTCAGACAGGCTTTGCCTATACCCATCTATGCCACCCTTAGTCAACATCACCCAGCCAGTATTTCTTTCTGAAACAATCCTCTCCAGCCCCCTACACTAGCCTGTGGCCCCTGGACAGGTAGGTATGGATGGCAACCCAGTAATCTTCCCCCAGCCCAGACTTGTATATAAACCTGCACTGCCTCACTCACATAAGAACTCCACCCAAGCCTGGGCCCCTTCCCTGGCCAGGACTCTTTCATCACATATGCCTGTCTCCAGGCAGACTCCTTGACCCCATTTGATTCCCTTTGCCCAGCCAGGTCCCTGTCCTCATCCTGACCCTTATCGCTATGCTGTGCCCTGTCCTCAATTAGGCCTCCTTCCTCAACCATGTGCTTTCACTCAGCTAGGATCTCTGACTGGATCCCATCTGATCCCTTTCCTGAGTCCCTCTGCACCTGCTAGGCTTCTTCTCCTGACCAGGTCCACTAATGCATCTCCAGCCAATGTTGTTCTCAGTATTTAAATCTCTCCCACTGCCAGGTTCCCCTTTCTAGCTATGACTTCCTGACCCCTTCTCCTGCCAGAGTCCTCCTCTAGTCAGGCAAACCTTTCCTGCCAAGGGCTTCTCAAACTCCAGGGTCCCTCCTTACCAGGCTCCGTCACTCAGCTTGTGCCAGCCTTGTAGGTCTCTGCTCCTTTTATCCAGCCTTACCTTTATCACAGCCTATGTCCACCTCTCCTTTTATGTTTGCTTTCCTGCATGGTGCTCTTCTTTAGCTTGGGTTCTGCCTGAAAGCTTATGGTCCTTCCCTTAGCCAGATGATCCATTTAATAGACAGGGACACCTTTGCTGTGCTTTGGCTTCTGACTCAACTAGGTCTCCTTCCCTTGACCACCCAGTCCCTCTTTTGCTAACCAGCTCTCTACTTCATCCTATTTTTGGTTTGTTTTTGAGACATGGTCTTATTATAGAGCTCAGGATAATTTTGAACTATACAGCCTGGGCTGGTCTCAAACTCAAAGCAATCCTCCTGCCTCAGCCACTGGAGTCCTGGGATTACAGGCTTTCGCCATCATGCCCAGCACTCCACCCTATTTATTATTTATACTTTCATATCCAGGCCTCCTTCCCTACCTTTTTCTCTGTCCACAGATAAATCCCCTTTTCCTGTCTCTACTTCCCTACTTAGCTAGATCCCTCTCCATAGTGTATTCCTCTTTGTTCTGTCATTCTCCTGCCTGGCTCCTCTGCCCATTAAGTCTGCACTCTCAGACCTCCCCCAGCCCAAATCAGGCTCTGTTCTCCTTCCCTGACTTTTCATACCACAGAACCTCTCCAGCTTGTGTCCCATGCCCAGCTAGGCCCTCTTCCCCATCCAGGCCAAATTCCCCAGCAAGGATCCCTTCTGCTGTCTATGCCCCCTTTTCTGAGCCAGCTTCTTGTGCCAGCCAGGTTTCTTTCCCAGATCATGTTCCCGCTCCAGCTCACTCCAACTTTCAAAGCCTGGTGGGTCCTCTACCAGAATGAATTCCTATCTAGTCCTCCTCCTCCAGGTAGACTCTGTTCCCCAGCCAATACCTATTTTCCAAGAAGGCCTCTTCTCCTTCTAGACTCCTTTTCTTATCCAGTGTTCCTTGTCTGCCAGGCAGCTTGTGCCAAACATTTCCACATTCACTAGCCTTCATAATCTGCTGTGCCCTTCCAGCCTGGCCTTTTGCACTAATGAATTGCCCCTTCACCTGCCTATTCCTCCTTCTACAACCCTGCACTTTCCTGCCCTATTACTCAGTGCCTCCTTCTCCCACCAAGACTTTCCCCAGAATGCATCTCAGTCCCCAGACAGCTGCCCTTACCAAGCCATGCCCCCTTACTTATATAACTGCCCCCAGATTGCCTACCTTCCCCAAACAGAAGCCCTTTACCACATGTGTTCCTTTCCCCACCCTGGACCTTTTTCCTTGCCAGGTGTCCTCCCCTCGCCAGGCTTTCTTTCCCAGCCTTGCCCCTTACCCTGATGTCTATCAAAATCCCCTACCTTAGCTAGAATGATCCCCTCCCAACCCCTAGGTACCCCTTCCAGCAGAATACTTCATTTTTAGAGCCCTTCATTACCTTTTGCCCATGTGCTCAGTCAGGCCTCCTTATTGTCTTGCACTGCACCCTCCATGTAGGTCCCCTCTTATAGACAGGTTTACTACCTATGCTCTGTTCCCCAGCATCTCCCTTGTTTGTCTTGTGTCCTCCAGCCTCTCCCAGGTTTCCTTACTATGCCCCATTCACCATCTTAAGCTGCCTAATCACCAACCTGCATCCCCCTTCCCAGTTAGTTTATATCTCCCTTCCCAGCCTCTTCTTCCTCTCCTTCCCCATCCCCTCCTGCAGCTTGTTCTCCTTCCTCCCTAACCTATATGCCCTTCCCAGCAAGTATTCTCATCCCTACAAGAGGCTGTCTTCTAACAAGTCACCCCAATAGTGGCCTTTCTCCTTAGCCACCTGGCTAGCTGAAATATTTCTCTCATACACATTTACACTGTGAGCAATTTGGCAGGATTTTCACATTAGTATTTTGAGAACACTCCAAAAGAAAAAATAGTGGAACTTCTTTCTCTCCTGCAATATAGACCTGGTTGGTAAGGTTTTGAAAGTTGTGGTTGCTATTCAAGCAAAGCAATGAGGATACCTTCAAACGAAATGTCTTCAGTTATTAAACACATTTCAGGTCAGCCTCCACAAACAGTTGCTCCTTAAATCATTCCCTGGGAGACACTCCACCACCAAACTTTAGGTGCATTTCTTCTTCTCCCCAAAACCTAATCTGTTTCCCTCTGGACCTGTTCCCCAAGTACCAGGAGTCCTTTGCTGAAATAGGTCCTAGCACACAAACTGTGTATGAATGAAGTCACAAATACACAAAATAAAGAAGCAAGTATTTTTAAACAGTTTTTATTTTTTAAGAAACTTGCCTAATTTTTAAAAAGGTTTTGAACTGATTTTTTTTAACATTTGGAATATACAAAGAATTTTTCATGAATTGAACCCCACCAAAACACAGGATCTGAAGATTAAAGAATTACTGCAAACTACTTAACTTCTAGACTCCTTGGCATATTTAGTACATTTATTATTATTATTATTATTATTATTATTATTATTATTTTGGCATATTTAGTATATTTACAGAACTCAAACATCAGACAAACTATTGTTTACAATTTTTTTTTTGAGACAGGGTTTCATTATGTAGTTCAGCCTGGCCTTAAACTCTCCTGCCTCAGGTTTCCAAGTGCTAGAATGACAGGCATGTGCCAACACACCTGTCTAAATTTGTGGTTCACCAGTTTTGTTTTTTGTTTGGTTGTTTGGTTTTTAAAGACAGGATCTCTGTATACAGTTCAGACTGACCTTCAACTTCAACTATGTAGCCCAGGCGGGCCTCTAACTAGCAGCAATCCTCCTGCCTTAGCTTCCTGAGTGCTGGGATCACAGGTTGGTGCCCCCAGGATTCCCCCCCGCCTTTTTTTGCTTTCCAGTAGTTGTTAATATAATAAAATACATTACCTACCTTAATATTTCCTAAAATTAATCTTAATATTTTTTCAAAAAATTAGGAAAGTCACTAAGTGACTTTCAGACTTTCTTTCAGATTTCATGCCAGTTGACATAACAAGGTAGATCAACTCGAATAAAGTCATAGCATTTAATATTGCTCAGAATAAAGGAAATTTACTAGAGGTAGATTTTTACTCCGTCAGTAAGTTAAATTATCTACCTATTAGTTTGTCTCTTTTTGGTTCACATGAGTTATAGAGACAATGTAACCAAACAGTATCTACCTTTAATAAATCTCAGAACTTTGACCTGCAGTAAACTTTAGCCATTCAGTTTGTCTAAATTTGCTGTTTGTATTTACTTAACACTTACATTTACCTTTCAAGTTTAACAAATGTTATTTACAGCTCAGCAAACACCTGTGCAACTAAAATTAATTTGTAACCCCACAAGTTTGAATAAAGAAAACAAAACCAAATTACTAACAAGAGCTCTTGTTTATAGCCTGAGACGTCTTCTGAGTAGCCCAACAGAAATAAAAGGCAAACCCAACAACAGTCTGTACCAACAGTTTTTTTTTTCCCAAACAACAGAAGGTATTCACGAAGTATATCAATCAGATAGATGCCCCTTTAATCTAAGTAATCCAGTAGATTCACGGGAAAATTATCCCAAGTCAACGCTTCGAAGTAAACTTTAACATTTGTATCCTATTTGAAACATTAGCAATTCTAAATCAGGGAGAGAGGCAAAGGCTCAAAGACGTTAAACTGCGTAAAATGGACATCGTTCAGTAAAGGCAGTCATTTCCCCCAGTTTAGGATCCTATCCCCTGTCGAGTGAAAGAAGTCACCAAAGGAGAGAGAAAAAAGGCATGGTAGGAATGCTGCGGTGGCAGTTAAATTTTAATCAAAGCAAAGAACACAGAAAACGAGAAATCCGACGAACATAAATCGAGCTTACCGAGACTGAAGGCCGCGGCAGAGCAGCCGCCACGTTGTCCCGCTGTGCTAAGGCCCAGGGCGAGGCCTAGAAGAGGCGCGGGGCGGCGCTGCTCGCCGCACTGGCCTCGAGTGGCTTCACGGAATTGTAGTGCTCCCCGAGGCTGCGGGCGTAGTGCACGTAGACTAGGGTGAGCGGCTTCTTGTGGTATTCCTCCCCGACGAGCAAGGAAGGTGAATTGGCCTGGACCACTTCGATGGGGGTCTGCAGGACGTGCGACAGGGCCCTCAGCTCCAGCTGGCCACCCCACGATCCGCGGGAAACGATGTTGTCGCAGTGGGCCATAAAGTCCGTAGGATCATAGGCGTCACCCGTTTCAGGGTCGCTGAAGAAGGGCAGAAAGTCATCGACGTGCTTCCGCAAGTAGTCAGCTGTGCGGCGGCGCAAGCTCTCAACCGTCACGGAGAACACCAGCTGGTCTTGGATGGCGCGGTACATGCAGTGGCTGTCAGCAGGGATTTCCTTCATTTCCAGATACTTGGCACCCAAGATGGTTGCGAGCTTTTTCTCCTCCTCTAGGCGGAAGCTGGCCAGATGCTCCATCTCAGCCACAAGGATCCTTTCCTGTTCTTCTCTCTCCAGGGCCTCCTTTCTTTCTCGCCTTTTCTGTGCCCTAGAGGTGTGGGGGTGCTGGTTCTCGAGATTCATCTTAGCCAGATTTTCGGTGATAGAATCCAGAGTGCCGTTACCAGGGAAGTTCTCTTGGAACTTCTCTAACTCCTGCTGATGCCTCTGTTCCATCTCAGCCTGGAGGCGAGTCGTGTCGAGGCGCAATTGCTTTCTTTGCTTTTTGTCGCTCTTGGGGACGGAGCGCTTCATGCTTTGGATTTGGGCCTCTAGTTCTTCCTTTTCACGGCAATGGCGACGCATCATCCGCTGACGTTCTCTCTGGAGATCTTCCATGATGTTAACAGGAGGAGACAAAGTTTGGTGGCGGCTTACGTTAACGGTTAAAACCATCCACAGACCCTCAGCTTGGCCTAGCTCTGGTGCTCTGTTGGCCTAGGGGGCTCCTTTCTTTCACACTGCCTACTACTGGCCTCTGTCTCTTCAGGACTACGTACCCCTCCCCCACAGATAAATCTTGGCACTATAATTGGCTGTTGGAAGACCCTAAATATGTCCTCTGTAACCCCCGTAGCAACTGCTTTCAGTTTTAACAGAATTCAAGTATCACTGGGAAGGTCCTGTCTTTCTACAGCTGGTCCCATAATTGGGCTTGTAAAATTTTTCAGCGAGTCCTACTTCCTACTTCCAAATTTGGACACGACACAGGAATAGGTCATGCTAAATAACCACATGATAAATACTATACCATCAGCTTTGAGCCTGGACTTGGTATTATTCCTAGTGTCCAGGAGATAATATGGTTTTCTCCAGTTTTTCAGGTCCCTTGACCAATGAACCCTTAATCTTAGTGCACCAGAACAAAGATATTTACTTATGTTCATGGAAACAGAGTTCTTTCAATTTATGCCTTCAAACCACCCTGCCACATCTGTGTAAAAAGACAACAGTCAAACTCTTTAGAGCTATTCACTGCAAATAAACAGACTTCTTGACATGGCTTGTGCCAAAAGAATTCACCCCTTTTACGTTTCCCTTCTCTTTGGTTCCCAGCTCCCAAAGTAGGATCTCTAGGAAATACCACAGCCGGTGTTCATCAAACCTCTGCCTTCTGATAATGAACTTCCCTAAGTTGTAAGAAGAAAAAAAACCCCAAATTCTTTTAAGTATATGCTCATCCTGCTCCATCTTGCCTACATGTATAAATAAAACTATCCTCTAGATGAAACCTCACCCTTACTACAGATAGAAAATAGACATTCATGCAGGTTTGTTACGTGTAAAAAAAATTTGTTCCTCTTTATTGAGAAATAGTATGGGTTTATTGTAGTTTGCTTAACCATTTACCAGTTGAAGGACAGCTGTTTGTTTTCAGTTTTGAAATACTATGAATAAACCTGCTATAACTTGTATACAGGCTAAGTCTTTGTTTCTCTGGAGGGAAAATGTTCAGCAGTATAACTGCTGGGTCATATTCAAAGTATGTGTTTACTTTTTAAGAAAATATTTTACAAAATGACTGTACCATTGTAGCAGTATGTGAGTGATCTAGTTTCTCTGCATCCTCACCATCAATGGTTGTCACAGTTTTTTGTTAGCCATTCTAATAAGTGTATAGCCACATTTCATTACACTTTTAGTTTGTATTTGCCTTGTGGCTAATGATGTTCCTCTTTTCGTGTGTTCATTTGCCATCAATAACAAACAGTATTGTCTTCTGTAAAGTATTTAAATAATTTTCATATTTTCTGATTGGACAATTATTACTATAAGTTTTGAGTTCTTTTATATTCTAGATATGAGTTCTTTGTGGGATATGTGTCTTATAAGTATTCTCTCTGAGTTCTTAGCTTGTTTGTATCATTTTCTTAGCGGGTCTTTCTCAAATCAAAAATCTTCCTTTTTGATGAGGTAAAACTTATCAAATTGTCCGTAGATAGGTCATATTGACCCAGGAGAGAGGGGCCTGATACTCTTCAAAGGCTACTTCTAAACTACAGCTGCCCCAAACAGAGCCTGGAAATGAGCTGCATCAGGCCTCCAAAGCTGCTACAAGAGATATTTGCTTTGGCTATGGCAGATTACATCATAGACCTATCGTAGGTTACCCTACCCTGAAGCCCCTCTGAATAACTCATCCCTTTATAGTGCTCCTTGGTCAGGTCTACTAGGAACCTGCCTCCTTACCCATGATCACTCTATATAAGCACGCTCCTCAGACCAGGCGTGCACTAGTTCTAATAAAGTATCTTCCAGTAGCATGCATCATCCTATTCATGATTTCTGTCTCAAGTGGCTGGTGACTGAGCTGCAGACACTGAAGACAGCAGCCAGACAGCAATGGAGAACAACAAAGAACATTTTGGAACTGTTTCTCTGGTGGCTGGAAGGGCCCTGAATCCTACTAGTACATGCTTGTTCCAAGAAGCAAGGAGGGCTGTTAACACTGAAAGAACTACCAGTTGCTGGCATTCAAAGCTCAGGGCCATTGACTAAAAAAGCTACACTGCCAATTTGTGATTTCTGTATGAATTAAGCAAGAACCCTCATGTTTTTGGTAACATCTTGGAAGCATTTGTGGAGACCTTCCCCTCCAAAAGGCCCTAGAGAAGAGAGCAGACAGTGGTGATGGAGATTAGTGGACTCAAGAATCAGCTTATGTCTGATTTCCATCTTACATGCATCTAAGATTTCACACAATGACATTATTTTTAGTGTCAAGACTAAGAACTCTTTGTCTAATACTAGATTTCAAAAAATGTTGCCTTTTTTAAAGCTAAAACATTTATAGCTTTAGGTTTTAAAAAATCTGTAATGTATTTTTCAATTTCAATTTATTAGCACATATTTGTGATATATTACTACTTTCATTGTAGGTATTCGGTACCTGTATATGACACATTTTAATACTTTTTAAGTCCCTTTCTCCCCTGACTTCTCCTCTCCCTTTATCTCCTGGTCCCCTTCCCAGTTGCAATAGCTCTATCTCCTTGTTTCCTATTTTTTATTTTGCTCTTTATTTATACTGTACTTTGGATCTCTCATATAAGAGAAACCACTTGGTAATTAAATATGTGTGTCTGATTTATTTTACTTAATGTTAGTTTTTTTTTTTTTTTTTGTCTTTTTCTTTCTTATCGGTACCGGGGATTGAACTCACAACTGCCTGCTTGCAAGGTGGCTGCTTATGCCGCTGAGCTAAATCCCCAGCCCCTTTGATGTTTGTTTTAAGGTGCATCTATTTCCTACAAAAGGTTCAAACACATCTTTCTTTATAGCAGAATAGTACTCCATTGTATATAAATGACATATTTTCTTTATCCATTTGTCTTTTGATGAACATATGGGTTGCTTCCAAGGATTGGCTATTATGAATTGAGCTGCTATAAATGCTGGTTTGCATGTATTGCTATAATATGATATCTTTAAATGTTTCAGGAGGATATCTAGAAGGGGAATAGCTGGGTCAAATGGAATTTCTATTTTTAATTTTTGAAGAAACTCTGATTTTCATAATGGTTGTACTAGTTTATATTCCCACTGACAATGCAACAGAATTCCTTTTTACCACGGCCACACTAGCGTTCATTATTATTTGATTTCTTGATGTTTGCCTTTCTTTCTGGAATAAGGTGAACTCTTAGTGTTGCTTTGATTTACATTTTCCTAATAGACAATGATGTTGAACATTTTTTTCATGTATTTATGAGTCATTTATATTTCTTCTCATGAAAAGTGTGATTTAATTTTGCTTTTGTGTAAAGCTTGAGACTTAAGGTTCATCTTTTTGCCTAGGGATGTGCATTAAATTGCCATGTAATTTGTTGGAAAAGCTACGCTTTTTCCATTGAGTTGGTTTTGTACTTTTGTAAAAAATCAGTTGGAAAGATTTTTGTGGCTCTATTTTTGGGCCCTATATGCTATTTTATTCATATGTAAATTTGTACTTCTAGAAACATCATATAGGCTTGATTAAGGTAGGTATGTAATTTTTTGGTACCAGAAATCAAACTCATGTCTCATGCTTGTCAGGCAGGTGCTGTGCTATTGAGCTATAGCCCCAGTCGCAGTAGGTGTGTAATAAATCTTGAAATCAGGTAAAACATTCCTCCAAATCTGTTCTTCTCTTTAAGAGTCATTTTAGCAATTCTAATTCCTTTGTTTTTATGTATAAATTTTAGAATACACTTGTTTTAATGGTTGATACATTGTACAATTTGAGAAGTCTAGAAGTTAAACAAAGTAACTCAGCTTTTCTGCATCCCAGAGTGCGGAGGACATACCCTTAACCTCTCTAGGATGTTGTTCATTGTGTCAATTTGAGAAGTTTAGGTTTCCCTAAGTGACTCAGCAGAGGCCCAGGGTCCTCACTTTGTAAACATCCTGAGCCTGCGAAAGAGGAGGGCAGGGAGATGATGTAAGTGCTACACCCAATGTAGGATGAATAGCCTGTATACAATATAAGGGAGGAAAGGAGACTTGCTTTTGTTGTCTTCCACTGACATGAACTGTTGTCCCTCTGCCTTGCCACCCTGCTTTGGAGCCAGCTGATTATGGACTGGAGACTCCACAAACTCCACAAACTGTGAGCTAAATAAACCTTTCCTCCATTAACTTCTGTTAAAGGAGGTATTTTGTATCAGCAACAATAAAAAGTAACCAACAGACTTATATTGACAAAAAAACCTTGCTGGAATTTTCATAGTTGTACTAAAGCTGTACATAAATTTAAGGAAAATTGATGCTTTTATGAATTAAGCCTTCCAATACATAAACAACTGTTTATGTATTGCAATTTATTCAGATCTTCATTGATTTCTTTAATACTTCACTATATAAAGCTTTCATCATATGAATCATATATATTTTGTTAGATTTACAGTTATGAACTTCTCTTTTTTGACAGATGATTATGAATTGTACTGTATTTTCACACAGGTTGCTGGCAAGATATGGCTATTATGAACCAGGCTGCTATAAACATTATTGGTATGAATATATTGTAATATGATGCCTTTAAGTCAGGAGGATATGTAGAAGGGGAATATTCGGGTCTTTGCTAATACATAGAACTATAATGGATTTTACGTTTATCTTGTGGTCTATTACCTTACTTAACTCACTTCTTTCTTGTTTAAATTAAATTTATTGGTACACTTTTGAGATATACAATAATCACATTGATCATAGGGAATTTGTACCTGAATAATATACCTTGATTCTTCTTTTCCCTCATTCCCTTCTTCTTCCTTCAATAGCCCCCCCCCCTTACAAAAGCTTTGTTTGCATTTACTTCCTTCTATGGTCTTTTTTCCCATTTCCCTTTTTCCCATTTC